AAGAGGCCCCCAAGACGGCCCAAGAAACCCCTGAGACGGCCCAAGAGGACCCCAAGAGGGCCCCAAGGCGGCCGCGAGAGGCCCCCAAGAAGTCCTCCGAAGGGGCCAAACGGCGCGAAAGCGCCCCAAGACGGCCCAAGACGCCCCCAAGAGGCCCCAAGAGGCCACCAAGAGGCCCCCAAATGGCCCCAAAAAGCCCCCCAGAGACCTCCGAAAAGTCCCCAAGAAGCCTCCAAAAGGCCCCAAAGAAGCCCCCCAAAGGCCACATAGCGACTGGAGTGTAATATTATTTCCCCCCCTGGACGAACTGCGGCGCAGCGCCAGCCAGGTGGAAGTTGGTCACGGCGGCGCCCATGATTAGAGCCAGCGCTGGAAGGGAAGATGGGGAGGGAGTCAAAAAAGGGGGGGAAGAGGCCAGAAGAAGTCCCCAAGAGGCCCAAAGAAGCTCCCAAGAGGCCTTCAGGAGGCCCCCAAGAGGCTCCCAGAAGGCCCCGCGACGTGACTGTACGTGCTCCGGACGTGCACCCCGCGAAGCGAGAGGAATCTATACGCACAGACGTAAAAGCACATGGATTCGTGCATCTGGAGAGGGCAAATCTACAGGCGCATACGTAAAAACACACGGGCTCGTGCACCTGGAGAAGGCAAGTCTTTGGGGCGCCCAGATCCCTCAAGTTCTACAAAACAAGCGATTCGCTCGAGACATCCTCGGTAACTCTGCGGAGCAAGCGTTTCGCTCGAGACATCCTCAACACACGAAAGAGTGGCCCGCACTCTGTGATTTATCGATCGGGATGTCAAAACCAAGCGTTTCGCCTGAGACATCCTCAAATTTTAATCCGCCGGCCCACCTCGACCTCGGTACTTATCAGGGAAAAAACCCGCCGGCCCACCTCAGTTGAGGCACCAGGGACAGGTTTACCAATTTACCAACTAAAAGAGAACCCTGGGCCGGCGCCCTTTCCGGGAAAAAGAAGTATGAGATCAAGGTGACAGGCTGGAGGTCAGTCAGGGTGGGCATTTGATCTCAATCCCCACCCAACCTCCTTATCGCCCGCAGGGCGGTCGTATCTATATATATATATATGTATTATATATATTATATATATATATATATTATAGAACCATCGCGCGCGCTTCGCGCGCGCTCAGGTTCTAGCCCAGGACAGGGGCGCGCTGGAGGATCTTGGACAGCGCTGTCAAGCAGAGGCGCGTGACATAGTCGTGCCTCCTGAGGGCCTCTTGGAAACCTCTTGGGTCTTCGTGGGGGCATCTGAAGGGCTTCTGGGGGGCCCTCCATGCTTCCTCAATTGGCTGTTGCAGGCACATCTTGGGTGCTTCTCGGGGGGCATCTTGGGGCTTCTTGGGGTCCCTTGGGGGCATCGTCAGGGTTCTCCGGGCAGTCGGAAAGTGATGTTCTGCAGCCTGAAGCAGACAATTGGCCGTTTTGGCTGCGTAGAGGCCCAGCTTGAGGCCACATTGGGGCAATCCAGAAGCCTCCCGGGGCCTCCTTGAAGCAATTTTGATTGGCCCCGTGTACGTCTCCTGCGAACCTTTTGGGGCCTGGTGGGGGGCTTTTGGGGGCCTCGTCGAACCACTTGGGGACTCTTGGGGCCTCCTGTGGGCCTCTTAGGGCGAAAGGCTCTGCTGTTGGGTTCGCGTTCACCTTCTTGGGGCTCTCTTGGGGCCCTCTTGGGGCCCTCTCGGGCCGTCTTGGGCGCCTCGGGCACCGTCTTGGGGCCCTCGTGGGCCGTCTTGGGGCCCTCTTGGAGGCCTCTGCGGTCTTGGGGGCCTCTTGGGCCGTCTTGGAGCGTCGGGAAGCCAAAAGGCTGGGAACTTTAAAATCCATCAAAAGCCGATGGGAAAACATTGCTTCTTGGAACCTCTTCGGCCTTCTGGGGAGCTTCTTGAGGGCCTCTTGGGTCCCATTTGGGGGCCTCTGGGGCTTCCTGAGAGCCTCTCGGGGTGAAAAGCTCGGATTTTCGGTTCGTCTTACCCCTCTTGGGCCCCCCTTGGGGCCGTATTGGTGCCCTCTCGGGCTGTCTTGGGCCCTGTTGGAGGCCTCGTGGGCTATCTTGGATTGGTCTTGGAGGCCTTTTGGACCGTCTTGGAGCGTCAGGACGCCACAAGGCTGAAAACTCTAACATCAATCAAACACCTACGGCAAGACATGGATTTGTGCCTCTTGGGGCCTTCGTGGGAGGCCTCTTGGATACGCTTCGGCCCGCTGGAGGGGCTTCTTGGGGCCTCTTGGAGCCTGTTAGCGGCTTCTCGGGGCCTCCTGAGAGCCTCTCGGGATGGAAGACTCGGATTTTCGGGTCGTGTCAACCCTCCATCTTGGGGCCGTGTTGGGGCCCTCTCGCTCCGCCTTGGACGCCTCTGGCGCCGTCTTGGGACCCCCGTGGGCTGTCTTGAGACCGTCTTCGAGGCCTCTGGGGATGCCTTGGAGCGGAAATTGAAGCCTCTTGGGCCGTCGTGGGGCGTCAGGAAACTCAAAAGGCGAGAACTCGAAAATCTATCAACAACCAAAGGAAAACAGATTAGTTGTGCCTCCTGGGGCTCCTTGGGAGCCATCTTGGAGACCTCTTGGGGCGTCTTGGAAGCCTCTTGGACAGTCAGGGACCAATTCTGGGGTGATCTCGGGCGGTCATTGGTCGTGTTCGTTGTCTGGAAACGCTATTTCTGGCAATCCAGGGCCGTCTTCTGACGACTTTACAAGGCCCCCAGCGCCACGGCAGGGCCCCTGGGCCTCCCGGCGTGAGGGCCCCATCCCGGGCCCCACCTCGTGCCCGCGGCAGGGCGTCCCTGGGCCGTCTCGGCGCCCTCGTGGGCCGTCTCGGCGCCCTCGTGGGGTGTCTGAAATCCATCAAAAATCGGAGGACAATCAATGATTTTGGCGTCCCTTTGGGCCGTGTTGAAAGCCTTGTGGGCCGTCTGGGGGCCATGTTGGGCGCGTTCGAACGATATGTCCTCGTTTCGGGGCCTCCTGGGGGCCTCTTGCGGCCCTTTTCGTATGTGTTGGGGCTTTCTTGGGCCGTCTGGGGGCGGCCCTGGGCTGTCTCGGCGCCCTCTTGGAAGCTTGTTTGGGAGATTTCTGGGTGTCCTGGACCGTCCTCCTTCAACGTCGGCAGCACTGACCGTAAGACTTCCTGGGAACATGATTTGTTGGGGTGTCGTTGGGCGCCTCCGGAGGCTTCGGAACCTGACGCGTTTCCGAGCGTGACGGCAGGTAGCGCTGCTTGGGACTCTCGTGTTTTTATCCTGGCGGGCGTTTAGGGAACATGGTTGGGGGAGAAGGCGGCAACCCGAGAATCATGTTCCCGGGAAGCTTTCCAGGAACATGATTTGTTCAGCTCTCCTAACAGGGGGGCCTCTGGGGGCTTACCGAGGGGCCCTTGTTGGCCTTGTCGGCCAGCCTATTGGAAACATGGTTGGGGCGGCGGACGGAAGCCCAAGGAATCATGTTCCCGGAAAGCTCTGGGAAATACGATTTACCGAGGTCTCTTGGGGGCCCGCAGGGGGCCTCCCTGGGGCCTCTTGGGAACTCATTGGGGTTTCCGGGGGGCCTCTTGGGAGCCTCGCGAAGCTTCGTGGGAGCCTCTTGATGGCCTCTGGGGGCGTCCTAGGAAACTCTCAGGCTGGAGACCTTGAATATGTCGCGCTCTTCGGGCCCTCTTGGGTCGCTCTTGGGGCTCTCTTGGGGCGCTCTCGAAGCCCTTTTGAATTATCTGGGGAGCCTCCTGGGCCATCTCTGGTCTTTCTTGGGAGCCTCTTCGGCCGTCTTGGAGCGATCTGAACGGCCTCTGACGCCGTCCGGCACCGTGGGGAGGCGGAACATGCGATAGCGCAAAAATGCGCGGAGCCATGTGGAGGGGCCTCTGGAGGCGCTCTTGGGGCGTTTTGGCGGCGTCGTCGGCCGTCCTGGGGCCTCTTGAGGCTGTCTTGGCAAGCTTTAGGGCCCTCTTGGCGTGTCGTGGCGCGTTCGGGGGCGGACCTGGGCAGTCCCGGGAGCGCTGGGGGCCGTTGAATGCTAGGTGTTGTCTTGGAGGCGGAGGCTGTTGAGTGCAGGGTGGCGCGTGCTACGCGGAAGGCGGGCGAGCGGCCAGGCGGGCGGCGGGCGGGCGGGTGGCGGGCGGGCGGGCGGGTCGGGATTTTAATGAATTCCTTAAGGTGCTCTCTTGCAGCGGGAGCTTGTTGAGCACAGGTTGTTGCCTTGAAGACGGGGGCTGTTGACTACAGGGTGTTGTCTTGGAGACTGAAGCTGTTGAGTACAGAGTGGTGCGTGCTACGCGGACGGCGAACGGGCGGCGGGTGCCCCAAGTGGTGGGTCAGAGGCCTCATGGGTGTTGGTTTGGATCTCGTGGTTGGCCTGTCGGGAACGTCGTGAAGGCAGTTTCGCATATTCTCGGTGACCGGTTTGGGGCCGTAGTGGGGCATCCTCGGGGCTCTTTTGTTGCCTTTTGAAGCCTCGTTTGGGCCTCCTGGGTGCCTCTCGGGGGCCTCTTAAAGCCTCTTGGAGGCTCCTTGGGGCCTCCTGGGGCACTCTTCAAGCGGGAGGGTATTCGTGGTCCCCTCTTGGGCGCATCTTGGGGCCGTTTTGGGGCTCTCTTGGGCTGTCTTGGGCGCCTCTGGGGTCGTCTGGGGGCCCTTTTGGGCCGTCTTGGGGCGCTCTTGGGGGCCTATTGGGCGTCTTGGAACGTCGGACAGCCGAAAAGGCTAAATCTCTCCAAAACCTTTTGAAAAATTGCCAATTTCGGCCACTTGAAGCGCTCTGGAGAGGCCGGAGCACTGGACCCAGGACCCCGGGAGGAGCCTCCGAAAGTCGAAGGGCGACAAGAACATCGGCGGGAGGCGAGCCGAGAAGTCGAAGGGGCGAGCGCGGTCCCGAGGGGCGACCGGGGCGGGGACGGCGTCTTTTTTTGTGCCGAGGGGGCTGCGCGGCCTCTCCCGCAGTCTGCGGGTCAGTGCACAAGGCTGAAACACGCGCAAACGGCGCGTGTTCAGATCCGTCCTCTCTTCCTCATGTTGAAGGCCATCGCCAGCGCGCTGGTCCCTGGTTGCAGGCCCTTCGCAATCCTCGAGAGGTTATGCCTCCCCATCGGCCAGGGGACTCCTCGCACTTCTGCGCCAGCTTCCTCGTGCTCTCTCTCTCTCTCTCTCTCTCTCTCGCAATGCAACCGCACTTCTTGCAGTAGTGAAGGCCGAACTCCTCCTCGTACAGCACCACGTGGCTCTCGTGGGCCTCCTGATTCGCAATCCTCGGCCTGCTCCTCAAAGAGCCGTGCACTGCGTCCGCCCTCTGCAAGGCGATACACTCTCCTGCCAGCCACTCATCCGCTGTGGCCATCAGCGCGAGAGACCCGCACCTCAGGCACCTGAAATGCTTGCCGCTCACGTCGTGGGCGATGTTATGCTTGGTCCCCTCCAACAACTTGCCCCGCCTGCGCATCTTAACGTGGGCCTCCTGCCTGGTCTTCACACTCGGGACTTGTGACGGCTCCGCCTCGATGGATGCCACGAGCGCCAGGTGCGCTCGGTCCCTGATGAGCTCCGCGACGCCCTTCGCGAACCCCACAGACCTCGCCTGTGCGCGAGGTACCTGCACCGACTCCACGATGCCGTCCACGAAATCGTCCGCTAGCACGTTCCCGAGCCAGTCGATCGGGTTGACCTCTGTGTCCAGCGCCTCCTGGGCCGACATGTGGCTCTCCACCTTGATGATCTCGACCTGCTTGCCGACGATGCCCTGCTTGACTTCCTTCCACAGGTCGACGTGGGACTTGGGCATCCTCCCTCCTCGATGCTTGCCCATGCCTCTGACGACGCACGAAGAGTCGGCGGTGCACCTGATCTTGTCGAAGCCCCGCCAGCTGAGATGATCACGTCCTTCAGCGCCATCAGCTCCCCGCGGTTGACGCTCTGCCTCCAACCCGCGAGAGCGCCGCGGCTTCCCGCGACCACCTTCGCCTCGATCGGGCTCGCGCTGTTGAAGACTACCCAGCCCCAAGACACCCTCCTCAGCCTTGTGCCCTTCGAGTACTCGCCGCCCGACGCATCACCAGCCGCGATGAGCCACCCGTCGGTCATGCTCTCCTCCGCGCCGTTGGACGGGACCTGCAAGTCACCGGAGCTCTCGATCAGCTCCGCACCTGGCTCGGGCGGGCCATCGACCGTCGTCCAGCTCGCGGGTAGCAGGCCCCGAAGCCACAAGCGCGGTTGGTTCTCCACCTCCGTCACTGCTCTCGCCACAGGATGCTGCGACTTCTCGATGCCCTCGATGGTCTCGTTGCACCTGCATTCCCACATGCGGTGCTTCCACGTCTCGGGCTCCTCGCCGCACCTGGGGCACATGACGTCTTCGATCTCGATGCCGAGGTCCGCCACGCGCTGCCGCGGCCACACTCCTCCCGTCATGATCGCGAGGAACGCGCCCACCTTGTCGCACTGGCCCTTCCTGCGCAACTTGCCTAGCTTCCTCTTCGCTGAGCGGAGGTCAGCTCCCTCCTCCAGTCCGCCGCCTGCAAAATGCTGCGCGGCCCTCGCCCACTGCTTCACTCCAATCGTGCTCTTGATCGCCGCCTTTAGGTCGCTCAGGTCCACGTCGCCGTCCAGCGCGTTCTCGCCGTCGCCGCCGAAGACCTCGCCCTCCTTCGAGACCCAGTGCCATGGTCCCAGGGGCTGCCACTCCAGGTCCACCAACGTGAGCACCATGGCGCGCGTGAAGCCCGCTACACCCCGCCACCTGTGCTGTGGCCTCTTCTTCTGCATGGCTGAGACGATGCGAGGCCAGATGATGCACACATTCCTCCTCCTCTGCGGGTCGCTGACGATGTGCATCCACGAGTCCAGCAGCGCGAAGACCGTGCCAAACGCAGGATCGCCCACGCCGATCTCCAGCTGCAGCAGCGTCGTGAGGCAGCGGCCCCGAAGGCGCGGGGCTACCACCGAGGCCAACCTCCTCCTCCACTTGGTCACCGTGCTGGGACCTTGCACGCGTAGGCCGCGCGGGGAAGAGCTCCTCGCTGAACGACCTGTCTCGCGCCGCCTCTGGCCCTCCGTCCGCTTCTCGCCATCTTCAGTGCCTTGGCCACCTGTCGGTCAGCATGGGCGGCCCGCTTCGCGTGTTTGCCCTTGCCTCCTCCGATGCTGTGGCCTCTGTCTATATCCAGGTCGGGCGCCTGGCCCTTTACCTTGACCTTGATGTTGCGGCTCCTCAGCCTGAGCGCAACCTCCTTGACCACGTCCATGTCGTTGCCGATCAGGGTGGACTTGCTCGAAAGGGCGAGCTTGGCCTTCCTGGCCCCGGCAGCAAAGTCCACTCCAGCGCCAGTGAGCTGCTTGATCACCTCTCGCCTGGACCCCTTCCATCCTGGTGGTGACGTCGTCCACCCACGAGCGGACGTACACCTGCTGGTACTTCGCGCTGGCCTGCCCCAAGGTCGCGTAGAGCGCCACCCTGCCAAAGTCGATGCCTCGCCTGGCGCCCGCGCAGATCGACCTATCGGGCGAGATCGGCTCCGCGTAGGTCGCCCGCTCGCGCGCCAGCCTTGTGCGCAGGTGGCTCAGCATCTCCAGGTGCAAAGTGCGAGCTGGGAGGCCGAGGCGAAGCCCCTCGCCCAGGATGAGGAGGGGCTCCAACGTGTCGTCGAACCCCGCTAGGTCCCACAACGCCGTCACCGTGTAAACCTTCATGGGCGCCCACTCCAGCACCTCGTCGGCGAAAGAACGGGCGAGCGCCTCCTTGAGGGCGCTGTTGCCCGCGATCGCGGCGCCCCACTTCCCTGCCATGTGCGACGCCCACTCGTTAGTGTACTGGCTCCTGATCTTGGACCAGATCTTCATAACCTCCGACAGCAGCCCGATCGCACGGTCGCCCCCCGCGTCCTTCCGCAGCAAGCTGACTAACGTGACCATGAGCTACCACGGCCAAGCCCCAGCGCACTCCACCTGGATGAGGATGTTGAGCAGCTCGGCCCTGGCGCTGGGAGGGAGCCACGTGTAGGCGAGGGCCCCCATCTGCTCGACGCCCTTCGCCTTGCTCTTGGACATGCCGTGGATCGCGCCGTTGAGGCTCTCCAAGGTGATGGGGGCCCAGTCCCCCTCCAAGGCCGCTGCCCTGGTGACCTCAAGCTTGTCCAGCACGACGGCGCGAGCGTAGTTGCTGGCCCACTTCTTCTTCTTCTTCCACTGCGCACCCTTGGCGTCCATGTACCCGACCATGTTGGAGGCCGCCCAGTCGTTGGTCCTGACCTCGTTGTCGCACCTGGGCTTGTCCCGCGTGCGTCGGTGAAGCTTGCCACTGCCCGCCGCCTCCTGCTCCTGCACCCAGTTGGTGTACGCGATGAGCGCCTCGTTCACCTCCGCGCGCTTGCCCTTCCTGGCCGCGGCGAGAGCTGCCGCGCCAAGGGGCTGGAGCTGCTCGGTGTTCAAGCTGTGCACCTCGGCCAAGGTGGCGCGCCACTTCCTCTTCTGCTTGCTCGCCATCTTGGCAGCGCCTCCGCTTGGTGAAGTCCTGCTCATCTCCTGGATGCGGCTCCGCAGGTGTTGACTACGCTGGCCCTGATCCCGGCAGCGCTGCAACTCGACCAGGTAAGATGACAAGGTACCCCACAACGTGATGGAGCTGTCTGCATCGCTGGCCACGTTGTCACTCATCCGCTCGGCTCTAGTGGTGAAGTTCACTGCCTCACCTCTCCCTGCGTGCTTGCGCCTCTCGGTGGGCTCAATCTTCAGCAAGCCTAAGTAGAACTGCTCCGTCGCGTGCACTCACGCACCGAACTGCGCGCCCAGCTCCATGGCGCCGAAGGGGTCGAACTGGTACGCCGCCGAGTCCGCGATGTAGCTGGGTGGCGTTCGCCAGGCGCGACGGTCCTCTTCGCAAGCCTGAGCGATCTTGAGCTGCCAGATCTCGTCTCTCTGGGCCCCCGGAATGTCGAACACCTCGTCTGCGCTGGGCTTGGTCGCCTTCTCGGCCTTCATCTCGCCGTAGTCGCTGACTTCGTCGTCCTCCACGCTGGACTCGTAGCCGCCGAACAGATCCTCCATCTCCTGGTCGACCCTCCTGCACTCGACAGGGGCGTCCGAGCAGCGGGCGGCCACGAAATCAACCTCCACCGCGTTCTCCGCTGCGCACGCAATCCCCTCGTTGAAGCCCCTCTGCTGGCGGCCCTTCTCCTTCTGCCTGCTCCTCTTGCTGTTGGGATCGGCCCGCCTCTTCGGCACGTCGGGCAAGGGTAGCGGCCCGGGGAGGAGGGGCATCCTCTGGGCCGCCGACTCGGTCTCACCCCGAATATAATTCCGAACGCCGCAGCGATCGCCTGGGCCCCTCTGGTCGCTGACCGCGCGCGCGAGCATGCACTGGAACGGCTCCGGGCAGATCGCGTAGTCGAGCATCCTCGCCGCACTCCGTGTGCACGTGTACTGCGCGTCCTCTGGCGTGCGCACCACGCCGCCGAGCACCTTGAGCCAGCCCGCCTGCTTGAGCTCGCTCGGCTCCGCGTTCCTGTCGCCGACTGCCACCCGCGGTCCGTCACGCCCGCGAACCAACGCTGCCAGCCTCGCCATCTTCATCTGGTTCTAGCCCTTCACACCGAGCGACGATGTGAGATAGATGCCGACCACGAGGACCGAGTGCCCCTTCTACCGCCACGTGATCGCCACCATGTCCTGGAAATCGATCGGCCCTGGCGACCAATCAGCATCGAGTAGACGAAGCCCGACTGCCTGCTCCTTCTTCGCCGCTAGGTGCCGCAACGACTGCGCCGACAGGTGCGCCTTCGCCGCCGTCCCGATGCCGCCTGCCTGGCCTGCTCGATTGCTCCGTCGAGAAGGCGTCACTACCGCCTTCCAGCCCCTGCAGTCCAGGTGATCCAGGACCTCGTTGATCCCGTCCGCTCCGACGTGCGTCCCAGGGAAGATGAAGATGTCATCTGTGCTGTTGCTGATGCGCCGCTTCAGCCTCGGGCCCCACGTCGAGAGGTTGTGCATGTAGATGCTGCGGCTAAAACCCTTGATTGACGCCGCGGGCCTCAGCGCGCTCCCGAGCAGCCGCAACTGCTTCGGCCAAGGCCTTCTTCTCTGCAGCCTCCTTGTCTGACAACTCCTGCGACGTAGGCGCCGCTGACGATGAAGCTGCCGCCCCTCCGCTGGCGGCTGCGGGCGCCGCTGACGGCGGCCCTGTACCGTCTGCTGCGCCCTGTCCCGCGCTCTCCTCGCCGTCGACCTTCCTCTTCTTCTGGAGGCGCTCCATGAACTCCTGCTGGTCCTCCTGCTGCTGCCTGAGCTTCTCGGCCGCCGCTGCGAAATCGGCGCGGGCCGCGTCCTTCGCCGCGCTGACGAAGGCGAGCTTGCGTTGCTCGATCTCCCGCTTGTCCGACTCGCTGATGTCGCCGCTGCACTCGAAGAGGGCGCCCACGTCCACCTCGACCTCCTCGTCCGCGAAGAGGGCGCCGATAGGGAGGACGTTGGCCTTGCCTCGCCCTGCGTCAGCGGCTGTTGCGCCACCGAGAGGATGTCGCTGAAGTTCCGCTTTGACTTCATCTTCTGCTGCGGCCACCTCTGCACTGCGAGCGGCCAGATCTGCCTCTGCTTGCCGTAGCTCATCTAGGACACGTTCACGCCGACGGAAAGCCTTCGTTTGTGCCGTCTGAGCCTTCTGAACGCGGTCCTCGGCAGCCCGTGGCGCGGCACGAGACCCTGGGGCGCGTAGTGTTGCCGCTGCTGGCGTGGGGGCCGTTTCCGCCAGCAGTGCGTCAAGCCTCTCCTTCTGCTTGCCCTCCGTCTTGGCAGCTGCTGCTTCGAGTAGTTGCTGAAGGGCGAGCTCTGCCAATGGCTGCTGCCCATCAGCTGCACGAGCCCCGCTGCTCTTGCTCTTGCCCTTCCTGGTGCCCGCGCCTGCACTGAGACTTGGCCAGCACCCTCCGTCACGATCCCGTCCTCCAAGAGGTGGTCCCGCTCCTTCAGGTGGCTCCGCCCCCCAGCTGCAGGCGCCGCACTTGCACGTGTAGTTCTCTGCTTCCAGCCGATCCGCGAAAAGCCACTTGCAGCACTCCTGACAGTAGGCTTTGCGACCACGCTGCTGCTGTTGATGACCTCCGCTGCGACGCCAAGGTTCGCGCCAAGGCCACACTGCTCGCCAAGGCTGTCGCATGAAGGTGCCGCCACCGAGAGCCCCACCGCCGTCCCCGCGAGGAGCAGGAGGCGGAGCCATGGCGCGGCCGAGATATGAAGCTCACTCGTGCGGGCGCACGAGCGGCGGGGAAACTGGGTCCTTGCTAGCCCTGGACCAAGGGTATCCGTGCTCTCGCACGGGGCGAAAATCATCTTGAGCCAAAATGGCTACGGAGGGGCGGGGACGGCGTCGACGACGACGACGCCGGCGACGGCGACACCGCCGACGACGGAGAATTCTCTATGGGATCCGAGGGCCTCTGCGCTGGCCCGGGGCGGGATGTGCCACCGCAGGAGGGCCACGGCGCGCATGGCGTCCAGGAGGCCGTTTTCTTGGACCGGCGGCGGCGGCGGCGGTCCGAAGTGCGGCTCGTCCGCACCGTCCGTTGTGAGGTTCCTCGGTGCTGTTTGGGAGTCTCTTGAGGCCTCTTTTGGGCCTCCTGGGTGCTTCTTGGGGGTCTCCTGGGGCCTCTTGGGGCCCCTTTGGGGCCTCCCGGGGCCCTGTGGAAGCGGGAGGCTCGAATTTCCAGTTCGCGGTTCCCCTCTTGGGGCCGTCTTGGTGCCGCCTTGGGCCTCTCTTCGCCCGTCTTGGGCGCGTCTTGGGCCGTCTTGGGGCCCTCCAGAGCCGTCTTGAGGCCCTCTTGGATGCCTCTTGGGCTGTCTTGGGGCGTCCGCGGGGGGCCTGTCAGCCGTCGTGGAGCGTCGGGAAGCTGAAAAGGCGGGAAAGGCAAAATGTGTCCAAAACCTTCGTGAAATAATGGGGGGGCGTCTTGGAGGCCTCTTGGAGCGTCTGGGGGGCCTCTTTGGCCGTATTGGGCTTATCTTGGGGGTCTCCTGGGGCCTCTTGGGGCCCCTTTGGGGCCTCCCGAGGCCCTGTGGAGGCGGGAGGCTCGAATTTCCGGTTCGCGGTTCCCCTCTTGGGGCCGCCTTGGGCCTCTCTTCGCCCGTCTTGGGCGCGTCTTGGGCCGTCTTGGGGCCCTCCAGAGCCGTCTTGAGGCCCTCTTGGATGCCTCTTGGGCTGTCTTGGGGCGTTCGCGGGGGGCCTGTGAGCCGTCGTGGAGCGTCGGAGAGCTGAAAAGGCGGGAAAAGGCAAAACGTGTCCAAAACCTTCGTGAAATAATGGCGGGGGCGTCTTGGAGGCCTCTTGGAGCGTCTGGGGGGGCCTCTTGGAGGCCTCTTGGAGCGTCTTGGGGGCCTCTTTGGCCGGTTTGGGTTTATCTTGGGGGTCTCCTGGGGCCTCTTGGGGCCCCTTTGGGGCCTCCCGAGGCCCTGTGGAGGCGGGAGGCTCGAATTTCCGGTTCGCGGTTCCCCTCTTGGGGCCGTCTTGGTGCCGCCTTGGGCCTCTCTTCGCCCGTCTTGGGCGCGTCTTGGGCCGTCTTGGGGCCCTCCAGAGCCGTCTTGAGGCCCTCTTGGGGGCCTCTTGGGCTGTCTTGGGGCGTCCGCGGGGGGCCTGTCAGCCGTCGTGGAGCGTCGGGAAGCTGAAAATGTGTCCAAAACCTTTTGTAAAATTAGCGATTTTGGCCTCTTGGGGCCCTCTGGGGGGGCTCTTGGAGGCCTCTTGGGCCGTCTGGGAGCCATCTTGGGCGTCTTGGATCGATCGTAAGCGTCTCGAAACACGTTTGGACCGTCTTCGGCGCCTCTTGGGCCGGACAAGGGCGCTCCCGGAGGCCCGATCCTCCCATGGGGGGTTGCGGCCCCGGCCAGGGAGCCCCCGGCCCTGTAGCCCGCTTTTATATATATATATTATATATATATATATATATATATATATATATATATATGTATATATATATATTATATATAAGATATGTGTATATATATATATTATATATATATATATATATATATATATATATGTCGGAGGTTCGGGGTGAGATCGCAATGAAACGTAGACCCCCCGCCCGGGAATCGGATTCGGCTTCGCGTTCGTGTCGTGCGTGCGGGCGAAGCGAAGCTGCGCGTGATCCTCCTGTAGCTAGGCCGAAGTAAGAGCGAAAATCCGTTTCCCGTCCGCCGGTGGCTGGAAGGTGTCCCAATTGGGCCGGGCGGTGTCCCGGGTGTCCCGTGGTGTCCCGTGGTGGCCCGTGGTTTCCCGTGGTGTCCGTCACCCGTCCGCCGGTGGCCGGGAAGTGTCCCAGTTGGGCCGGGCGGTGTCCCGGGTGTCCCGTGGTGTTCCGTGGTGGCCCGTTGTGTCCCGTGGTGCCCCGTTGAGTGAGATCGATAGTGAGATCGATTGAGTCAGATGTTGGTTCCCCCCCTCCCCCCCCCCCACAACCTCCTTATGACCCGAAGGGTGGTCGTATAGGTATATACACATCGGAGGTGAGGGGGTGAGATCGAAGTGGAACGGAGAGCCCCCCTACCGGGAAATCGATTTCGGTTTCGTGTTCGTGCGTGCCGTGCGTGCGGGCGAGGCGAAGCTGCGTGGGCGGGCGAGAGAAAGTCTCCTGTGGCTGAGGCGCGGCCTGACCAAATGTCGCCCTTCCGGGCGGCCGGGGGCCCGCGGTGTCCCGCCGGTGTCCCGCTGGTGTCCCGTGTGGCTGGGGCGCGGCCGGACCAAATGTCTCCCTTCCGGGCGGCCGGGGGCCCGCGGTGTCCCGCCGGTGTCCCGCTGGTGCCCCGTCTGTGTCCCGATGATGATGATGATGTTGTTGATGATGATGGTGAGTTCGGCAGTGAGACCGAATGTGAGATCGATTGTGAGATCGTTTGTGATATCGATTGTGGGATCGATATTGAGACCGATTGTGAGATCGATAGTGAGACCGATTGTGAGTTCGATCGTGAAATCGACAGTGAAACCGACTGTGCGATTGATTGTGATACCAATAGTGAGACCGAACGAGAGATCGATAATGACTTTGGTAGTGAGTTCGATAGTGAGATCGATAGTCGGATCGACTGTGAGATCGAATGTGATATCGATAGTGAGATCGATCGTGGGACCGAATGTGAAATCGAGAGTGAGTTCGATCGTGAAATCGATTGTGAGATCGGTCGAATGATATCGATAGTGATATCGATAGTGAGGTCAATCGTGGGACCGAATGTGACATCGATTGTGAAATCGACTGTGGTATCGATAGTGAGATCGATAGTGAGACCGACTGTGAGATCGATTGTGAGATTGATAGTGATATTGACTGCGAGATCGATAGCCAGATCGAGTGTGAGATCGATCGAATGATATCGATAAGAGATCGATAGTGATATTCATGGTGAGATCGATAGTGAGTCCGAATGTGAGATCGACTGTGAGATCGATAGTGATATCGATAGTGAGATCGATTGTGAAACCGAATGTGTGTGAAATCGATAGTGAGATTGATTGTGAGATCGACAGCCATATCGATTGTGATATCGATCGAATGATATCGATAATGAGATCGATCGTG